TCCCAAATATATTACTCTCTAAATTGAATATAACTTTATTGTCACGCATTTATAATTTTAACCTACTTATATCTATTTATTGCCATGTTTCTTAAAAATATTTTCATTAGAACTTGATCACTTTAAACTACCCATATAACTACTGGTAAAGGAACATTTTATGGTATATTAGAAATAAAAAAAATGCAAATAAATTTATATTGATGTAGCAAGGAATGAACTTTTTATAATATAGACGAAAATTTTTTTAAGCATACTTAGATATCTTATAATATTAAAACTTTTTAAAAATACATTTTATAATCGAATCACGCAAAAAATGACCTAGTCACAAAATCATATGTATAGCTAGCTATATATGATTTTACTACTTATACTGATAGCATTACAGAAATATTTTCCTATATTAAAATAACAGTGAATAAGAAAAACTTCCATATAAATTAAGGCATACTTTGTACCAAACAAGTTGATTAATAGTCCTTATATGTAACAACAATAATTGTAAGTTTCTTGTGAGACCACAATAATTTATTCAAGGGCTAACCAAAAGCGAGCCTGTTTCGTCTAATAACATTTTCCGTTTCTGGAGTTACATGTAGAACAAATTGCCTAGAGTGAATAAATTATTAAATTTAAAGCGAAAAAGGGTTACATCCAATTACGCGGGCTTTTATTGGCTGTTTAGATGAAACTTTATAGGTGTAAAGCCATCATTGGCTATGATAACAAAAGCATTGATGAAATTCAAATAATTGTTTAAAGTAATTTAAATATAAAATAGATCTATGTTACCGTTTAAAGAGAAACACTTTCTGTAACTATCTTACTTTACCTTAAATGGCAATGAGTTGTAATAACAACTTTCAATAAAACTACGAATATGGATTTTAAAGGCAATTTAATGATACTTACCTATAAAAAAATGTTGTATGGAAGGAACTCATTACATATACATATTTTGATCATGTAGTGACATTCTCGTAAGAACCTTAGAACGTTCATGACAACTACTCCTACTCATCAGGTAGGTTTTAGGTTACTGTTACAGACTATAAATATTAGGCCTTAACAGGGACAGAGAAAAAAAACTACCCACTGCTTGCACTTGGTTTTGCCTAGAAGAAAGTTACCAGAATACTAATCGTGTTTGTTACATGTCATTAGATTATTTTCTTTTTTGCACTTGTAGAACATATTTAATTTAAAATATGTGCTAAAATTGATAAATAACTAAGCATTAGCCATAGGCCATCATGAAAAGTGAAGAAAAAATATTTGCTATAGATTTAAATAAAACTTTAAAAAAATTACATCCAGAAATTTTTCGCGTACATTTTACAAGAAAATAATTTTGAACCTCATTGATTTAAAACTAGAACCGAAAAAGGACGCTCATAGGTTTAAATATACATATGTATAATAACCAAAACTGTTATTTTTTCTGAAATCTTATTTAGTTTGAAGGAGGATGATCGTCCTTAACGAAAGTTATTTTGTCAAAATATATATTATTTTCTGATAATTCCTTTGGTATCAAATGATATTACGATTGTGACTTTTTTGTATGGAATATAAATTAAGTAACACAATTATTTAAATTGAATGTAAAGTTCTGCAAATAACTATAGAAATTAAAGCAGAATCGACTAAATATATATATAATAACATGTCACACTGAATTACACAAGTTTCCTCCTTACCCATATTAAAATTAGTGTCCCTCCAAAACATGTTTTTCACCTAAAATCTAACTTTCAGCTCTGGTTACGGTTTCAACTGAAACCGAAACTTGCTTATTTTAATTAATTCTTGTTTACCAAAATCTAGACCATATTCACATTTTAATATATGTACATATGTAGATAAACACGGTCATCACTATTGAATAAGATAAAAGAGAAAAATACCTATATATTAAATATGTATGTATATGTTAAAGAATGACCAAGTAATATAAAGTTTTGTCCAAAGTAATAATTTCATTTAATCTAATTAATAAAAGACCACAAAATTCAACAAAAATAGACTTTTTTCTTTGTGTTATATATAGTTAAAGTAACAGAGAATAAAATAACTTTTTATTGTTTTATTTAAGCTGTAACTTCATTCACGCTTGAAATTTAGTTATTTTCTATCATAACAAGGGCTCTTTTAATAAAAGCTAGGACTTTACGTCTTTTTATAAAATATACCTGGGATATGAAAGCGTCAGTCAAATTTACAGGGGTACAAAATTATATTCGAAACTTTACAAATTCCTCATGAAGGTTACACATATAAACATATTATAACTCTACATCTTTTTGAGCTCTAGAGAAAGATTAGCTTCACTTTCACACAGATTTCAAGAATTCCATCATGACGAAGAGTGTATTGACGGATATTCAGGAGTAAGTACCTTACAACCTATACGCAAATGCTTAAAAGTTTCAACTGCCATCCTGAAGATATCGCAAGTTTTTTTTTGGGACCTTTACCCAATCTTACTAAATTACTCGGATCTGGAAGTCATTTGGAACGCATTGAGATCAAAAATTGGCAATGCTGGCGAGCAATCATGAATTAATGTGCGCCGTTTTAATGCTAGTACGAGTAAGATGCAAAAATCTCCTATGTGTAACAAGTCATTCTGCATTTCTAAACTCATTGCATGAATCTTATATTTAGCATTCTCGTCTTGCTGGATGAAATACTTAAATATATCAGTATCTTTAGCCTTCTTTCTACAGCCTAACCCTACTCTGTTACTTTTTGCTCCAATCATAATTCTGTTTATGAAATTGAAGTCTTGACTAGATCTTGGGCAACTTTGTGTTTTGGGAGCAATGTAACGACGTCATCGTGGGATTTCCCTAGGTTATGTCTCTTGGACACTATTAGGTTTTTATAGAGCTCGAACGGCCTTTTCCCTCCCTGAATATTACCCCTGAATAACGCTGAAGAATCAGCCGACAGCGAGCCCGAGCCACAACTTCAACACCTTTACGACAATTGCATGTAACTTTGAAAAAGGCTTTTATTACATAATTATCGTAGATCCAAACTTATTTGACGTTATTGATTGGTTGGTTGTCTACAGCATTGACTATACCTAACGGTTATCCCGGACCGTGTGAGTATCCCGGACTTGTATTCCGCGTACCGAGATACAAACTGACATTTATATGGTTTTTATCCTCAATCCATCCTTCCATTCAGAGAACCTGTCCACTTCATCCAATAGTACTTGACAGTGTTTTCGGTTACGTGTCAGTATTGCGAGACCGTCAGCGAAGGCTAAACTCCATTCCGTGTATTTATTATTAAACTTGAACCGACGTCCTCATATTTTTTCGTTACTTATTATTTATCTATCAAGATATTAATCACTACTTTAAATATTACTGGAGATAAACAACAGCCGTGAAATAGTCCTCCGTTGTCACTGAACGTTTTAGAAATTCTTCTTTAGTTGTTATAGAAAACTTTATTTTTGAGTAATAGGACGCGATCATATCGCGAAGTGGTATTGGAAAGTTATACCATCTTAGCACGAATAGCATTAATTCATGTTGTATCGACCGGAACGCGTTCTCTAAGTACAACAAACTTGCAATAAAAAATATCTGTATGGACTAATCATAGAACGAATCTGTAAATTACTGAATCTAAGTGTAAATTGCCGTATTGTAGCATTATTAATAATATAATTTTAATCTATTTTGCCATATTTTATAAATGAAACCTTCAATTTCACTGAGATCGGTTGTGTTAGTCACGCAAACTATGGCAATTTGATCTCACTATCGTGTCCTGAACAGACCTAGACATTAATATTAATAGCAAGGACAAATAGACTTCTGAATGTTACAGACCCGACTGAAACTATAAAACTTGTCTCAATACTAAATGCAAAGTAAATGCAACAATAACATATTTAAGGAAAACCTTGGAACTACGTGCAATACTTTACTCGTGGCGTTAGATCACCGATAATATGAACCGATTTGTCTGACATCTGTTATAGATTAAATCAAATTTAGAACATCTAAGAAAGACATGCGTTTTCATTTTTATTCCATATAACTTGCCAGTATCCATAGTTTTTTATGTATATAATAATAAATTCATATAATATATGGTTCAAAATTAAGAAGCACTGTTTATATTAAATGTTTAATGTAAAGCTTTAATAAAACACAAAATAAAATATCCAAAAAGGATCATAATTTATTTATAAAATGATATATACAATTTACAATTGACGAAAGGACCTTTAGGACGACCAGGTTTAAGAGTCGACAGTTTTTAAAATATTTTTTAAAATACTTTCTGCTAATTTATCAGTAGTTTTATATTTATATATATTTTTTAATAATTTACATAATACTATTTGTACGGGCTCGTTAACACCTCGAAGTTCTAAAGGTCACTCGGTGATGCATAAAAGCATCCTACACAAGTTTCATTGGTAATAGTAATATCTAATATTTACAAGTCATATTTACATAACCTGAAATTTATCAGCAGTCCTCTCGATGAAACATTAATTTCTATTAATTTCCTATATTGCTTTGACTTTATTAAGATCGCCGAAACTGAATTAACCTACAGCTTCACAGTTTATGAATTTACTATAAATTTTCATTTCATAACAAAAAAAATGTTCATGAACAAGTACTGTCAACGCCGATAACTATAGTTTGTGATTTCAATCTCCTTTAACATTTAACTATTTATCACAATCGCATATTCAAATCAACCAAAGTAAATGCAACAATAATGCATACTTGCAAGTTGTAAATTTAACTAACGCCGCCTTGCGTAGTAAATACATGTAAAATACATGAAAATTCACAGCCCTTAAAGGCGGTTCAATTTTCATACCAACAATCTCATAGGATATCAACGAAATTATATTTGGCAGTGCCATATTATAACATTTTATTTAAATATTACATATTCATTAACACTCCCGTACAAAGTTATATATGTTTATGTCCACACAATAACAGCCACTAGCTGTGGTTGGAGTTGCTGTACGAGTTCATCCTCTTCAAGTTAACTGACACACTGTTCCCGTTCTTCTCTAGACCCGCTATAAAGTCTTCCAACAACTTGGCCAGAGCCTTCCTTTTGAAACGTAACGATTCACTGATGACGTCACGTATCACCTCCTTCTTTATATCAACACTACCTTGTAATTGTTTTAAGTATTCGAACAGCTTTGTGAAATCTGTTGAAAGAATTGAATATTATATTTAATATTTTTATACATTATAAAGCAGTTAGTTGATACTTAACTATGTTTATCTTAATTGAAATATTATCACGGAATAAATAAGAACACATTTACGATATCAAATCGAACAAAAAATAAAAAAATTAAAATAAAGCGTAACCTCTCTTTTATATGTATATTTATATATTTATATTAAAAATTGCAATAACATTGTGAAAAGGCAAACATATACTTTCAAGTATAACCTAAACCTATTCATAAGATAAATAAACCTATTCATAAGATTGTGGTTGATGAAGGTTAACAAAAAAATTGTGCACTTCATAGTAATATCTTGATTGTAATTTACTCCTAGCAGAGTTACACTTTCTTTTGACTCCCGTGATATATTATAGATGGCGCTGCAGGTTTTAATATCTATTTGTATTTTTTTTTTATTATATATTTTTTTAGCTCTGCGGCTTGGTGACTAAGCCAGTGGTGAGTTCGGCTCGTTAAAAAACCTGTAGCGCCTACTACATGTATTATGTTCAGGCACATATTCATTTATCTGTTACCCGAAACCTTTCAATTCTAAGCACAAAAAGACAAATATGATAACTCTTAATAAATACATATTATCAACGCACTATCATAGTATTGGGAAGATATAATTTAAATATATATATTACTATAAAATATACATTATTGTCATTCTAGCCAAAAAGCTAGTAACCTACATTTCTTTAGTTACTGTAATATATGAAACTTTTTATATACCAAGTTAATGAAAGATTCTCATACATATTACTTTAAATACACACTATATATTTGTCTTATGTACTAAAACTTGATATTCCTTTAAAATTTATGCACTAAAGTAACTACTATTTGCCTAACTTCTCAAAGCTATAAAATTTAATACAAATTAACTCATATTATTAGCCTAACTTCTCGGGAATATTCCAAGCTATAACCATAATGGAAACTATTGGATAATTGGACATATAAACGGCAATGAAATTGTAACAATGAGTTACAAATCAACCAACAAATTATATGGAATTAGAATAAACCTATGATGCTGGAACAATGTTATTTATTTTAAAAAATCGTTCTTTAATTCTACAAGAATCCTAATACTAAATGCTAACCAAAATCATACGTAACAATTTGATAGTCCGAAATAACTACATTTTGGTAAGCATGATATGATGCATTTAATATATTTATAGATATATGTGTCATGGCCAGATATAAAGATTATATTTGGATTCAATTTAAAGCTGACCATTTATTATTTCAACGTAAAGCATGAGACCAATTACTGGATAATATTATTTTATAATTTCCACATAATATGTAAAAATTATACATCTATAAACTAGAATATAGAATTAAAAAAATATAATAAATAAGAAAATATTAGCATCTAGATTAGCCTCAATTAAGGCATTTCATTGATTATATAGTATTTATTATGTATATAAGAACATATATACATAATAAATACTATATAATTATATATGTATAAAAGAACAAACCTCTCCCTGGCCTCCTTACAGCTCGGTACACATCAGCCCTCACACACAGATTGTGTTTCTTGATCTCAGCCAATTCCTTTGCTGTCGGCTGAGGCGGCACCGGCGGCTCGTGACGCTCGCTCTGTAAATATATAATGAATATTTTATTAACATCAATAATAAGATAAAAAATATTCTAGTTAAATGATAATTAAGTTAGATTTCTGTATAAATCTCTTTTTTTATTTGTTTGTTAAGCAACTATCATTTAATTATTCACAAATATCTACCCCTTATTTTGTTTATAATATTGCCTTCACAAATTCTTTACTTATAGGTTGAAATATAATTATTTTGTTGGTTGTAAAATGAAATGGAATTATAGTACTTATCCTAACAATAGAACAAGAATATATCATGACAGAATCTAACATTCTCACAACAAAACATCTTGTAACAATCTATACTAATATTATAAAGCTGAAGAGTTTGTTTGTTTGTTTGTTTGTTTGAAAGCGCTAATCTCCGAAACTACTGGTTCGAATTGAATAATTCTTTTTGTGTTGGATAGTCCAGTTATCGAGAAAGGCTGTAGGCTATATAACATCACGCTACGACCAATAGGAGCAAAGATATAGTGGTAAATGTGTAAGAAACGGGAGAAATTATTTCATCTTTGAAGCCTTCCGTTGCGTGCGCCGTGAAAACGATTCAAGATACACAAAAAATATGTACTAAAGAATAATAGCTCTTTTAATGATCTAAAAAACAGTCCGCGACAGTATATGTCTATCTTATAAGATTAACTCACAAAAACCGTTTTTATGGTACCTAATTTTGTCGAAATAATTTGTTTAAGTTGTATCAAAATAATAACATTAATTTTTATTCATATAAACAAATAAATATGTTGTTGGTTAAGAGTACTTCATTATTAATAAAAAAAACATAGGTTTCATCCTGAAAATTCTACGGGAACTCGACCATTCCGAAAACCCCGCAAGAACGGGAACTATGTGGGAAGAAACAAAAATCTGTCGGAAGTAACTATTCCACGCGGACGGAGCCGCGGCAAAAGCTAGTTTATCATAATAGTTATGGATAAATTATTAACAAAAAAAATCTATGACAACATTATTCAATAAGTAGACTCTATACTATTTACTTAATAACTCTTCACATGCAAACTGTTTACTAATTATTGAATTACGACAGAATTAATTACTTAGAACGTGTAGCATGTATTAAGGAGTTATGTTTAACTATCAAAAAATATTTATAAAATTAAACAAAATCTACATTCTCAGAAACTGGTCCCTATTATTATTTATTTATGCTTGGTTATCTTTTAATCTTTGAACATTTACTACCTTCATTCATAAATTTAATGTACATTGCCAGTTTACATATATTATTATAAAGTGACCTCTGTAGATAGAATGAAGGTTTAATTAATTTATTCTATCGTTTTTTAAACATCCAAGATCATTTTCTGAAGAAGCTTTTTTTATATATTTTTAACTTTGTTTGGGAAAATTCAACCTGACACAAAATATTATCAAGGAAAGTAATAAACAATTGTTGAAAAGTCAATATACTTAATTCCTAGTACACATAGTAAATTGAACATGTTTTACATAGTTATCTAAACCATATACCATAATATATATGTACGTGTTTAAAACAGACTTGAGTTATAAATTAATTATGTATAGAAATATCTCACCATTGGATTTATGTAAAATATTTAAACCTCTCTATATCTATAGATTCTCATAGTAATTATATTATAGTATCTATGTCAGTATGTTCATATGTTATATCTAGTAATAGAAAAATATAATCAACCTTCCGTCTTCTCTTCCTTTCTCTTGCTATGAAATTGTTCTCTGCCGCTATGCCCTGTATGATAGCGTTTATCTGAAGCTCTTGAGAATCGTGAGACGGTGACGGCAAAGACGCCTCCGCTGGTGGGGAAGGAGACCTCGCCATTTTACCCATCGTTGTATAGGCATCTGGAAATAAATGAACCATCATTTAATTTTATATACTCTTTGTTTATTATCTTTTGATGCCTTAAACGCATTATAATCATTGGAACATTTAAAAAATGAAATTAATATTAATAATTAAGGCAAGAATTATATGTGTATCATAAATAGGTTCATAGCAGCTCAGGTCTTAAGCTCTTTTTGATATGTAATAATGAACACAATACAATAATCTACTCACATTAAACCATAAATGGCTTAGAATGTCTCACTATTACATTACTAATATATTAACTAAACACTGAGTTTTGTTTTATATAATATTTATGTATACTTCTATACAAAAGCATTACTATTAATTAAAAATTACACTATAATATTATCTTATCAAGTCATTTAAAAAAAATTAAATCACTAAACTACTGATAACTATAATAAATTATTAACAGGCTGTAGCAAAAACTATGTCCGATATTAAAATTTAGCAAAAAATTAAATTTATATGCCTCATACATTTTAAAACCAGCTCTTTATTAAACAAAAACAACCTTCCTAATCTATCAACATTTTTATCTTTTAAAAACAGATGAAAAACACTAAAAGTAAAAAAAATGGTACCACATACAATATTCAGTACTAATTGAATTATGTAAATTTGTTGATTTTCAATCAGTAAACAATTAATCATTCAAGTCTTGTTCACCATTTAATTAACAATATCACCTATTAATAAGGAAAAAATATGTATTATAATATACAGGGTGACTGATGAATTACTATCGATACTTGAGGACGTGATATTTGACGATCATATATGACAAAATAAAAATTAATATAACATAAATATTAATAAACTTCTAAGTAAAGTTAACCAAAAGTTATGTAATTAATTACGCATCGTGTGAACACCCTACAGATTAGGTATACACACACACACACATATGCGTGCGGCGGCGATGTGTTGTATCAGCACGCCGCCGCACGCGTCCACACTTGGAACACTTGGAACGTGTCAACACTTTATTTATTTATACGGAAATTTTGTAAAAAATTAAGTACCTATTTTTTTTACATAATTCGAATGAGTATCATGGACCGAGTATTCTCCTAAAATATTGATAGTAATTCACCAGTCACCCTGTATAGTCTGTGATGTTATCAAAGCACATGAGGCTCTTATGTTTTATTTTCTAATCCTATGATAGAAAAAGTTATATGGGACTTATTTTATCAATTATATACATCAATACATTTATATAGAATCTATTTGGGACTAGCTATTTATCAACATAAAACATATAAACGTCTTCGATCAGTATAACTATTAATAGCCAAGGTTGGCCAAGTGTATTTGACATACCCCCATTAAGAAAAGGCTTGACAACTGGTGGTAGGTTAGCGGGCGCGGCTGGCGGTGGTGCCGGAGAGGGCGGACCGCCGTCCGGGCAAGGAGGCTCCTAGAACATCATATTAATAAAAATATAAATATATTCTCTAACAATACATGAGTAAGTCAAGGAAACATCTGTTTGCTCCCAGGGAACACAAATAATATGTGCACAATATTATGCTAATATCTTCTGTTAGTTCTTCACGATTTGCGATAGATATATTTTCTTCTTCTTCTTGGCAATTTCCCAGCTTTAGCCAGGATCTGCCAATATATTTTATTATTGTTTATTCAAGGCCTATATTTAATATTTTCTTGTATAAGTTCATGAAGTTGTGTTCACAATGTATAAATGTATGTAGTTCTTTTTTTCAAAACTAAATATATGATAGGGTTTTAAATTTATTCATTAATAGAGTTAGTAATTGAAATAAAGTGAGGAATGGTTGTTCGTTATAAAGCTTTTTCTATAGGCCACCTCTAGACGATTGCTGCTAGTCTATTCAACTGTATTAATGGCATACTCTGTATGTACTATGAAAAAAGAGTGTCTTTGCAGTACAGAATAAAAATAAGCATAATCAAAAAATATATTTTTTAGTACTTATATTTGTATCTATCCTGTAATTTTAGTATATAATACATACATATTGAACCAATACTAAACCTTAAATAAATTCGTGTCAAAATTAACCTGACTATAATGAAAAAGTTATAATAAATTTTACCCAAAAGATCAACATATCTTTTTAGAGAGTATTTTATCATTTAAATTATTTAATCACTAAATATTATTCAAATATAGAATTTTATCTGAAGATCTTATTTAAGGATTAGGTTTCTCAAAACCGACGTAAATTCTAGACTACGCCCACAGTAAAATAATCCCATTACTGTCTTCACAGGCTTTTATGAAATAAAGATTTTAAAGCAGAAATAAATACCTTGCCTTGTTATTAAGAGTGTATTTATTGTTCTGATATCCTTCAAAACAACATCAAAAACCGGTTACCGTATTATTTTTATAAGGAAACCTTTAAACGATAGGACATGAAGAATTTATGCATGCAAAAAAAATGTAAATGTTTAATTGCTCTTAAAAATAAACTTAAAATATATATATATTAGACAATATTAAGTAGTACTAGCCATTCCATGTATCAAATATTAATGCATGTGTGTAACATTATTTAATCTCATGTAAGTGAACCTGTGTATGTTCTTATTAGAATAAAGATCTTTAACCATTCCAAAATGATGCTTATAATATAATATATGTATACCTCAGGTGGTCTCCCTGAAGGTAGATCTGATGGTACCGGCGCCAGTGGTGATGCCGGTCTCCGTGACGTTACAGGCGACAGTGGAGCGGCGGGCGGCGGTGTGAGTGGCGGCTGAGGCGACATCGGCTGTGTGATCACGGTCGGTGTAGACGGCCGCCTCGCCACCACGTGGTGCGGTATGGGTCCTGCCTTCCTTTTAGGCGGCACCGCCCGTGGGCTCTCCGCGCCCCGCTTACCACCGACACCGCCGCCAGCGGCGCCCCGCACCGCTCCCAAGGGATCTATGTCCGCCTCGTCCACCATCATACGCTGGAAACAATTGCAGACAAAGTTATAGTTTGATCATAATATCGTGAATATGCAGCTTTGCATATGGAAATGTTATAGGACATAATGAGGTCTAAGACTTTCGCGAGTCATTTCATTTAAATGTTATAGAACATCTTCATATAATATTTTATGAATACATTCTTGTTCTTAAAAGGTGTTGATTACAAATAAATATTTCATTAAAACACTTTTACCAAAATTTGGTACTTTGAAAGATTAGACATCAGAGGAAGTTTTGTTGTTTCCAATTATTATTTCAAAATAAAAGTGTCCTCACAACAGCTATACCAAAAAGAAAATGAAGCAACAATAAAAATGATTTCTTATAATTATAATTTAAAAATATGATCCAAATATTTTAAGTATGTTCCAATTTTTATAGCATCACTTTTTATTATGTATATTTGCATATCATATCAGAGATTTCTTGATATATTATTTTATATCAAAGTATATAGTTGGTATATTTTTATAACATATGCATCATGAAATGAGTGATGTTGTTTTGAGGCATTACACAGACCATTTAAGTATAAACAACTTGTTAAGGTTTTATGTAAATTAATTGGTATGGCGATAATTATAATTGTCTAACGTGACGGAAATATGAGTACTTAGTTTTTAAAATAAATTGATAAATTGATTAAGATATAACTTTAAAAATTTCTTTACATAAAAAAACATTGAATAGGTTTTGATAATTGTATCTTTTATGTAAAAGGAAGGTAATGCTATAAAAATCCTATGTGAATTTTAAACTAGAATCTAGCAAAGTTTAATACATTAAGCATTCCAGCACATTCTAAAAGAAATGTGTCAGTTAGGTTATAATTTTTTTAAATATTTATATGAAATGAGAAACAATTTAATTTTTTTTTAGTTAAGAGAGTTTCGAGACTAGATATCTTAATAAAAGATTTTAGTTAAATGAGCAGAATATAAGCATGTTACCAAAAGTTACATGTAAAGGTTAGGATATAGTAAAGCGGTTTTGTTGAGTGAAAATAAAAGGGTCAAAGTAAAAGCAAGTGCCACTATATCATATTGTAAGACAAATGAAGTAGAAATCAAATATTCAAACATTCATAAATTTAAATTTAATTTAAAGCTATATCTTTTTTTTTCTTAAAGATCATAAAAGAGTACCTTTTTTAAATTTTAAATTAATGTTTAATAAAGCATCTAGATTAGAGTAGTTATCTGTTTTGATCTCACCTTATCTATCTTAAATGGATTTCCAAACATATGTTGTCTCACGGGCTGCGATTCGATCTCTCGTAATTGCGGCGTCATACGTTTTAGATATTCCTGGTAATTACCCATTTGAGCAACAGGCATCGAATGTAAACTATCTTCATCTACTAAACGTGTATGCGCTAATGACGGCTGAAGGAAATTAGCACGCATTCTCACCACCTGAAAAATAAAAGGACCATATTTTTACACATTTTATGTATTGTATGGAATGACACATATTGTCGCTCAAATACTTATATTACATGCATCATGATATCAAGTTTTCTATCTTTATTTAAAGAAAAAACATTGCTGAAATAAAAAGTAAGTTACAATATGGCAATATTTTTATTTATAATTGTCATAATTATGTAAACTATCGTTTTATATAAAATGAATGACATACCTGATCCAATAAATCTCGCCTCTGTATATCAAAAGGGTTTCTATACGTATGGGCTTGTGTTTTATGTCGTCCACGCGATAGACCCACAACAAAACCGCCGAATTCGTTCAACTGATCCCTGAGTGCCGTAAACTTGTCTTGTAGACACGGATGCGTTGTTAGATCTTTCTTAAGAGGAGATCGAGGCATTACCCGCACGCTTTCTGCCACCTATAATCAAAATGCAATATGATAAACAACTATCTTTAAAGTATGTTGTTTTGCTGTAAAAGAGACAGACCTAAATCTCTGAATTATCTATTAATTGTTTAGAATCACTAGCAGTGAAATTGTCTATTTTAAAGATATAAAACTAAAAAATTTTACATAAGTTGTCAAAGACATGAAGATATTGAAAACGGTACATATTATGCAAATTTTAATAATAATTCCTCACCTTCTGGTTATTTCCAGTCGACGCCTTGTTTATAACATCTGCACAAAGCTTTTCAAATTCAATTTTCGCCTGGTTTTTCAGTCTTTTCAAATAGTTTAAAACACAGAAGCTCAGTGAGTTGTCTTGTGTGTCAGGAATCAAGCTCTGCACCAACGGCGTTGACGCTCCCATTTTCGTTAATGCCCGCCGGAGTGGCTACAAATAGTTATTATTATTAATAAAATCAGTTAATTTTCAAATTAATCAACTAGAAAGCTTTAAAAAAAATTATAGACATATTTTATACTTTTTTTATGTATCTTTTTAGCAAATTAATAATGGGATGTGAATTTTACCGTAACATAATACGATGGCATGCGATCCAAATACTGCTGAAAGGCCATTTTCCATTCTGGCGTAGGTTTACATCTATGAACTTTAAACAAATCATCCAACAACGGTAAAAGCACTGGGTAGTTATAAGGCAACACAAACAAGTTGACGCAAGTCAGGTTCGTTGATGCTTTCAGGTAACCAAATGGATGACTGACTTCAGAGTTTTTGCAGCCACTGTTAGCAACAAATACCTAAAACCAATAAAAAATATATTTAAAACAATTGATTTAACTATTGTCTTATATACAAACACACATAAATAAATTTATTCTATTATTTTAGTTATTACGTCATTAATATGTAACAATTTGCAGTTAGGAAAAATTTATAATCAATTACCTGGTTGAAATTCTCAGGATCTCAAAGATATCAATAAAAAAATACATATTTACAAACCTGCCAGCAAATAGTTGGTTGCTTCCTTGCCAAAATAAACTGTGTAAGTGGACTGGGTTCAAGTTCATATTTGTCAAATGGTAAATTATCTATGACCATTGGTTCTTGACTGGAGCAAGTGAATTTGACCACAGGATGAGCTGACCGAGGAGGCTGTAATTAGATCAAGTTCATTAATTTCACACTTCTAAGATATAAGGTTATAATGTTGTTTCATACATACAATAATTGAAAATTATTGTTAAAGATCAGGTTTCACTGTAAACAAGGACAGATCATAAAAAATTAAATTTAACAGAGACCAACCAACCTTGCAAGTGGTAGGCTGTATTAAGAATACTTAATTAGATGCTACAAGAATGCCTGACTTACATATCCTTTTAACTTATTCAAATTTATGCACTTTTAAATGCAAATGTGATTATGTGTTATTTTAGTATGCAAGCATTTCTAATGAAAACTTAGGGAAATTAAAGTATTAGATTTTTATATTATTATCATTTTTAAAGGATAATAACATATTAAAATAATCACTACATTTATATTTACTATCTCCAAGGAATGTATACAAAACTCACCAAAGTACCGGCATTAGGATCTGGTCTGAATGACTCGGGTATAGGCCAGTAGCCAACTGCAAAGCCTTTCTGTGAGACAGTTCTTGGTACATAGATAAGTCGTCGACATGAATGCCAAGCTGCTGGTGTGCTTGCCTGGTTGGGTATTCCTGTTTGATATGAATTTCCATTCCAACGCTGGAAACATAAACAATATTGTTGTTAAATAAATGTCAATAATAACTACTTTACTTAATCATTGAATAGTCACAACCATTTCTTTTACTGTTAAGATGGATGAATAAACATGTAAAGTAAAAGCTATTAGATTAACTATATAGATATATAGCAAATTTTTTCCAAACTAATAATATTAATTTTAGTTTTATACCCCATTTCTTTCATCAATATCCATTTCTTTATCTTCTTGGGTAATTTCCTCTGGTTCTCCCTCCCTGATCCCACCATCTATGGGAGGTGGATCTGGCCCTATCTTTTCAAAGTTGATAACCACACCGCTTTGGACTTTTTGGACCAAGCTGTCTATACACTGCATCAACATACGATGGGATGTGATGCAATATGAGCGACCTTGAAATATAAAGAATACTCACATTAATATCTCTTTAGTTTCAAATTAATAAGGAAGTTTAAATAACCCAGACAGATTTATTACGTTTTATATATTATGTCGTCAAATTTGTATTCTCCAATAAAAATCTAATTAACCCAACTTTAACATCTTATTAAAAACTTATAGTATTTAAATACATTGTCTAGCTATCTTATAAGAGTTTGTAATGTATAAAAATAAAAACTATCATTTATATACTCACAAAAATAAACATGAAAATATAATTTATGTCAATATTGAAATAATATTCGATAATGACTACATACCACCAGTGACCTCACACATAGCATCAATAGGTGATGAATCAGAGGGCACAAGACCGGAGTCTCTTTCTACAGCCGGAGTTCCCGCTAGCCTCAGAACCAAAGAAAACAAACGTTGGTCCCATCGGAAAGGCTCTCTAGTAAGCTCGGAACCAGGAATAGGACAATTCATCGGTAAATTAAACTGTAAAAATAATAAAATCCCTTCATTTATACAACATTCAATGATTAATTGAATATATTTATTCATCTAGTAGGAATAATTTACTTATTTGCTTCCTGATTACCTTTAAAGTTTAAGTTCAAGAAAATACCATAACATACAATAGCATATCTGAACCATGGCATTATACAATAAAGATGAAAAAACTTGTTTGGCCAACATTCTTTTGTAAGATAAGATATGGGTAGCAATGTTTATATTGAGTAATTTGTACACAAGCCTAACTTAAAAGTGATAACTTGAGAACATTTATGTAATTTTAGCTGGAATGATCATTGATTGTAATCAATGTAGTAATTACATTTTTTGTTTTAAGTACAAAACTGAACATAAACTTCCATCTTAATTAAATGGACATCCCATAAACTTATCAGTTATATTCTTATAAGAAACAAATAATATCTAATACACACCTCCTCTTGGATGCCAGCATTGCTTGATAACTTTCCTCCATCTGTAATCACAACTATGACAGAAGGTTCAAGATAAAAGGGACATCTTCCCTGTCCATACGTATCTATTCCAGTCTGCATGCGATTTATATTTAAAACATCAAAAGCATGCTTGAGAGCAGCTCCCATCGTTGTTAAACCAAGGCACTGCAAATTCTTTAATTCATTGATAAAAGTAGCCAAATTCTCCTTCCAACCAGCCTGTAATGAGACAAGATATTCTTTATTAATATAAAATATACGTCACAATGACAGAAGACTAAATATTGTACAAATTATTGTTATCAACCCAAATGAAAACCACAATTACATTACTATGAACACTCAACAAATCATATTTCCCCCCAATTCGCCATTTCGTTAATAACGTTTTCTCAACCAATGAGAGCACAACGAGAGCGCAGTCGCGAGCGATATCGCGAAGGCAGCAACGGCAGCGGTTCGTCCTGTTTACGTCGTGTTGTATATTTAAGTAAAATCCGTTCTTTTAACGTATGTTCATGTTCTGGGTTAATGATTGCAGTGAATATTGTACTATGTCATCCAAGCCGGCAGTAATGCTATTGTCTATGCAACAACAACAGGAATAACTCCCAAAAACGTGTTCATTCTGATATACTAACCTTGATGTTCGCGGGTGGCTCTTCGAAAGTTAGAAGCATATATCTATCGCCTCTGCTTTCAGGAGATCGTTGACGAACCTAAGACATATTATTTCATAAGTTTCACACACTTAACACGCGATAAACAAATCGATCACAAAACGAGGCGGTTTAAGGAGTCGATGACACTGCACGTACCTTTACGAACGTTTCCACAGCGCCCTTGGCTACATCGAGCAACGTTGGGCGTCCGCCCAAATAAGCTCTTTGGTTCATAGAAGCTGATGTATCTATTAAAAAGACTATAATAGTCATCGTGAAAAAATTCCTAAATATTCTTCTAAATACATTAAAATATGCGCACGCTATTATGAACAAGAACAAAAATGGCTGCTACATTGTACGCAGACTCGCTGAGAGGCGACCGTCCGACAGCCGCTTCGACGAGCAGCTGAACAAGCTACGCCACGAAGACTCCAAAAGTACCACGTGACCTAATCATACGTTCGGTTATTCTCGGTCTCCAATAGAAAAACGTTCGGCAAAGATCGTGCCTAAGTTTAATGTTGCCATTGCATAATTTTAAATACCCTGGACAAAAGTTTTATATCATTTAATGTCAATAAATCTATTAAAATAAATTTTTTTTTTCTGTGTTTGATATTATTTACTTCCAAACTAAAATTTACTATATCGAAACATGATTAAGTATTCCGTTTGTCTTACAATAAAGAAAACTTTGACTTTAAAGTAGTTTTTCTGATGTAAATAATTTCTTTTGTTCCAAAATTTTTGCTTTAAGCTTATCCTTTTATAGTTTTTTGATAAAAGAACTTAACTTTCTCCCATATTTTTTAACATTTAGACAGTATTATTAAAACTGCCCCACAACATGGCAAAACAAATAAAATAGCAATACTGACGACTAAGTGAACAGGATTAAAATACAAGTATTTTAATAATATTTTGTAATCTGCCGTTGAAGTGACAATTTAAAATAATGTTCAACAATGACACATATTTAAGATGTCTATTTTTAATAGATAAAATTTACAAGGAACTTAAAACTATTCTTATCGTTTTTACTCGTTAATTATAATAAGTACTCTACCGGAGACAGCGGCAAATTTAAATTACTTGCATGATATCATGATCACTTATGATTAATTACGAATACATAATGTAGGAATGGAGGAACAAACTTTTTAATCTAAGTCGTCGTTCATGCAAACATATTTTGATTAAATAATTTGTTTTCATAAAAAACAAAACTGCTATTATAATTTATTTTTTAGATAAGTATAATAATAGTATTATATTAATAATTTATATAAATACGTCTAATATTCTTGTTATAAAATCTAAAATAAAAAATGATTATTTAATACTTATGTATAATTGAGATCAGTGTTGATTCTTACTTTACACACGTTTAAATTCAGTTTTGAGAAATTTTCACTTTTAAAATTTTAATGAACGTTTAATAAATTTACAGTCACTGAAGACACTAAAAACAATAACTTTAATATAACAGAATAAATTTAGATTTCGTATTTTTTTTTTAATTTTAAACTGTCACAAAATGTGCTTTGACTTTAGTCAACCTGTCCGTTGGAGGTCTGTCATCATTATCATCATTCCACACAAAGGTTCCGTTGCTAGGCTACGCTTGCGCACTGCTTCTGTGGGGTCAAGGGGCAGAAACTGAAGACTGGATTTCCTAGTATTATAAAAATACTTTGTAAACGTTATCCTTGTAAAATTGCTATATTATTAAAACTTTCAAAGTAATCCTTTTTTAACTTTCCTTGAAATGTTATTTTAAAATAATTCTAATTAAAACTTTCGCTTTTATGTTTGCCTAACAAAACTTTGCCAACTCTGTGAGAGTGGATGAATACAGTACTTAATTTTATTATAGGTATTAACCGTATAATGGCGAGCATAATTTCTCTGGATTATTTTTTTTGTATTTCCTTGATATATGACAATTAAAGAATTGAAACCTTCTTTTAGGCAATTTTAATTTTGAAAATTATGTGTTGTCCTTGAGATACATAACAATAAAAATTGTCAATTCTTGTTTCTCTAAAATCGCATTCATAAGCTTCATTCTGTGTCAATCATCTTTTTGTATGGTAAGAACAATTGGAAAAAATATATGTATATATTTAAATCCTAACGTTTTGCTTTTAATACTATATTTTTTTATATGCTATTTTTTATTGAGATTTTTGAGGAAATAAATAATTCATTGAATGGAATTCTTATATGTCCTAAATTTGTTTAAAGATTAAGCCAAAGGCTATTTTAAAATGTTAAAAGAAATAAGTATATGTGTATGTATATATCGTTTAGGCATTATATAATAATTAACATATAATGGTTCTTAATGTATATGTGATAATTGAGGCAGTGATAATTGTTTTGAACGTAGTCAGTTTGAAACGTTGCCGGTTCGTAGTTTTCCGTTTTCAGCGACGTTGCCGTTATTACGAACTTCTTGCTCGATGTACATCATGCAGATACCCTTATTTATTAAAATTTTATTCACTTATATTTTTTTCATATTATTTCTTTTTGCCTCCATTAAAACATCAATGTAATTTGATTTAACTATACTAATAATCTTATAAAAAAAAAACTAAAAAAAATCAAAAGTATTATGCTTTTTGGCGTTATTTGTTGTTATAACAAAAAAGTTTGCTTCATTGGGTAATGGTTCAGATGTTAAAAAAAATTATCCTGTTCTAAATTTTAAAAAGTTTTTGATTTCAATGGCTTGTTACAAAAAAAAAATGATAAAAAAAATATATTCTAAGTACAATGCTAAGGTTAAACCACATCTAACTATTTATATTTGGCGAAAGCACATTTATTAAATAATTATTCATTAAAATCAAAATTGCAAAAATAATTTATTTTCCGTATATAACGACCTAAAAAAAATAAAAGTTCAATTTTTGATTCGAAAATGTGTCAAAATGTGTCATAAATAAAAATTTTCAAAATGATAATAAATATATTTAGATATAATTTCTGTCGTTCCTGACGAAGACGCTAAATCTTTTCTTGGCTTGATGGTACATAAGCCCCTTGTATAAAATCACACCGCCTACTCTTTAAAAGCAGGCACGTAACATAAGTGATTTGCCTCACGTTCCCATTTGACAATATGTTCGCCTGCAAAAAAAGAAAACATAATAAATATAAAAAAAATGGAAAGTTAGTAAATTCCATACAATTCTATTTTATACTTTGTTCCACACGAAAACAAACCATAAAAAGTGAGGGCTTGTCGCTTCAACACGCTTCGAATTTGATATGGTAAAAATTTTACGTGACATATAAAATAACCTACCTGAAGTTTAAACTATTGTTATTTTTTAACTTTTAAGTTATTTTGAATTTGATATTTGAATTAAAATTTATAATATAGTATGAAAATCGAACCGCTTTACTTGATAAGCTATGGTGGTCGAGTCAATGAGTAAGCATTCTACTTATCTTCTCCCAAGTTCTTGGAAGATTTAATATTTTAAGTTTTAGCTAAAAAGCTGTATATTTAGAAATAATGCATAAAATAGTATAAATTAAAAAATAACTATAAAAATAACACAGTAGACGAATAAAAAATCTATAAGTAGTCTATAAAACACTTAAACGCTACTTTACATAATAGTTAGTTATTAAAATATTGAATGAAATTATGTAATAGTTTTATACGTAATAATATTACTTTACTATCTGTTTAGTCAGGTACTTAGTTGTTGTTAGTGGTAAGTGGTTGTAAAAATAGAATGTAACAAAAAACTTAAGAAAATCAATATAATCTAGAAGAAAAAGACTAAACTTGTGGTTTAAAGAATTAAGTAACGTTGGGAATAGGATTGTGGTATCTTCAATATTATCGAGATTAGTAACTAGCTTTTTGCTCTGTAATACGACCTTAGGCCGGTTTTTACGGCTGAAATTAATGTCCTTTTAAGATAGTAGTAATAATTGCTAATGCTACTCGGTAGCAATCTTCAGAACCTAGAAATAAATACATATAATTTTCTTTTTCACAATTTATTAGTGGTGGCCTAGCGGTTAGAGGGCCGCCTCTCAATTCTCTGTCATGAGGGATCGGGTTCGAAACCTGACAAGTACCAATGTGATTCTTCCAAGTCATATGTACTTTCTAAGAGTATTTAGACACCACTGACAGAGAGTGAAGGAATACATCGTGAGTAAACTTGGACTTATAATAATTTACAATTATAAGTTTGAAATCGCCAACCCGCCTTGAGCAAGCGTGGTGATTAATACTCAAATCTTCTAAATGTTAGAAGAAGCCTTTGCTCAGCAGTGGGTTCTGATAGGCTGATGACGATATCGTAATGTAATTTCTGTGCGGCTGTCCTTAACAGTTGAGATTTGTTACTTAAGCTAGGAACGTCGACTGATCGTATTATTTACTCTGTTTTTTTGTACAACTCATGGACAACAGTACATTTCAAGTGTTTGAATTACTGGCATTTCAATAATAATCACGACGAAATTCATGTAGTGATGTTTCGATATAGCAATTTTTCTTTTAGATCTACTCTCAAAATTCCAGATGGTTGTAACATTAGTAGTGGAAAGTGATCCATGCGAGTGGAAAATAATGTCGAGTTAAAATTTGTAAAAACTGAAACTGGAAAAAATACATAAAAGCAATATAGTCTTCTTTAAAGATCTTCACCTTTAGTGAATACTTCTTAACGAGCTCTGTGTTTGGCTTGAGGGATATCACCTGCACTCTATATCCCTCCTACCTACTATCCTTGGTGGTATTTAATTCATTTAACAGCTTCTTTTGACTTCTCCAAATAGTCAGCATATGTTAAAGAAACGTAACTATTGTTCTATAATTCATACCACCTATCAGTTTGTTCTTTCAAATTTATTTATGTTTTTTCTGAGAATCTGTTTTTACTACATTGATTCGACACAGGCTTATAGTGTTTTTGCTAGCATAGAGGGGTTTTAGTTTGGTAATCAATAAAATTTCCAATAAACTAAAGCGAACAAAGATGGTACAAAAGAGTCAACAAATTCTCGTTACAAACAGACTGATTTTTAAGCATTAAAAATATTCTAAAGTCTATTCAATTATATTCTTTAAATATCTTACAATGATATTTGATACCCTACATTTTCTAGCAAGATTTGTTATTTTGAGAAAACTCTATTTCATTCCATATTCTATGACATACATTTTGACATGAAAAATAATTTATATGAAACTAATATAAAATAAACTGTATTATGCAACTAAAAGGTATTAT